GTCTTTGTACTTCGGCCACCGCAAACGCAACTTGCTCTTCGGTTTATAGCTTTTCTTTTTTCTTTGCATGCAAGTTGTTTCGATGCATGATTTATATTAAAATAGATTTAATAATAATCGGTTTGAAATTTATGCACAAAATTTAAAGAGATTGCTCGATCACTTGAGACTTAATTAATTAATAAAACCCGCATTTAATAAGAGCAACTAGCGTATTTCATTCATTTATTCGAAACATTTAATAAAAGCAATCAGTAAAAGTCATTCATTTAAATTCACGTAGAAAAATTCGTTCATTGAAATTTATACAAAAATTTATAGCTGGAGATTTATTGGTCACTTAATAATTGATTTAAATAAAAAGCTGCATTTAAAAATTGCTTCATTTATTATTAGCATAATTCATTTCATTGAATTTTCACTTAACAAATCTGCTAAATCATTCAGCATACCACTAGCAACTCTTCACAGGCGTGTCTACTGTATAAGTGAAACAATTGGCAGTGGTTCAAGCACGAGATTGTCACAACAACTTGAATCAGTTCTGGTAGATACGCTCATCAAATTATCCGATTGGGCCTTTGGTAGAACTTACAATAACGTCATCGCACTAGTTACCGTTTATTTGCAACACCAAGGTCAATTTCATTTGTTTCCGAATGGTACACCAGGAAGAGATTGGTATAGACTTTTCTTAAAACGGTGGAGTCATAGGTTAAGCATTAGAGCCATAGGCAATATTTCATCACTCAAAGCCGCTTCTTGCACGCAAGAAATAGTTGCAAAGTATTTCAACACACTGCAAAGAGAATTCAACATAGCAGGTATCAACGAAAACACTCCATGCCATTTGTGGAATTTTGTTATATAACAAAATTCCACAAATGGCATGGAGTGTTTTCGTTGCATAATTATGCAACACATAGTTTGCCGGCGTAGTGCAAAGCGGCTATTAAAATTGGTTGGCAACAATGAAAAAATCCATTATACTGTTGGAAATGCATTAATGCTGCTGGCAATCGTCTTAGTCCATACATTATTTTTAAATCAAAAAACCATCTGTACAGAGATTGGTGTGTAAGTCGTCCAGATGATGCCATATACGCCATATCTCCATCCGAATGAATGGATTAAAAAGCAATTTGTGTAGTGGCTCACTAAAGTGTATGTTCCCAGCATTAAGAAGATTCCAGATAATTAGTTCAATATAATTTTAGTTATCTAATTATATTTATTTAATTTTACATTGACAAAGGATTACATCTATTTAATTATAGTTATCTAATTTTAGGTATTCATATTTTAGTCGTAGATGGACATTTGACACATGTAACTTATCGGGTCGTACTTACTTGCATCGAAAACATTATCTTGTTAATTTGCTTACCAGCTCACTCGTCTCACATTCTGCAGCCACTAGATGTAGGTGTTAATTGCCATGTCAAAAGAGTTTGGAGCAAATTACTTTAAAAAAGCAGCAAAGCAAGCTTAAAAACAACGTTAGGTTAGCTTTGATGGCGAACAGCAAATAAACTAAGCAACAAGTCCAGCCAAAATATTAGCTGCAAACCAATTCAAGTGTAAAAAGTGCCGAAAAGTTTTAGGCGAAGCTTCAGCAAGTCAAAATAGTGAATGGTACCAGTGAGGAAATTCAAATTGCAAGGTTTGGCTATGTCAAACAAGCATACCAAAGCGATACGTAAAAGGCGCTAAGTTTTATTGCATCAAAAAGTGCCGCACAATTATAAACTCAACTCAACCTCTAGCACCTCTCAACGACTCAACATCATCACAAGAATAAAAAAGTTTTTTTTCTATTTGATTGATTTTTTAATTGTTATTATTGATTGTTTTTTTAATTGTTATTGTTGATTGCTTTTCGTTTTTTTAATAAATTATTTTTAATAAATTATTTAATAAATTATATATAATAATAATAAATTTTTAATAAATTATTTTAATTAAACATACATTTGCGTGTTTCATTCCCAGTGGGCACGGAAGTAAAAAAGACGTCTTTTAAACGTATTATACACGTTTTGGACGTTTTTTGAACGCCTTTTGAACGTTTTGGACGTCTTTTGAACGTTTAAAAAACGTCTTTTTTAGGTCCAGTGCCCACTGGGTTCTCCCCGTATGTAAGTGTGGAATGGAATAATTTTTGTTTTAATCAAGTAAAAGTTTTTTAAAAAACTTTAATTTTTTATTTTTATTTATTCAATATTCTTTACAAATTGAAAATAATAAAAATTTTTCCGTAAAAAATAAATAATTTAGGTGGAAGTTAACCAAAAATTAAAAAAAGCTCATTTTTTGCAAAAATTAAAGTTTAACAACTATATCCTTAAAAAATAGTTAAAAATATATATCAGGCATTTAAAAGAACTCTTTAGTGAATAGTTTGCATAAAAATTAAAAAAAAATTATAGACTATTTTTAGTACTGTTGCCATGGAAATGAAAACAATAAAATGACTTGTAATAAAAAACGTTAAATTTTGAACTTTTTTTTTACAAGAATGACAACCACATAAAATAGATTGATTAGAACGATGAATTTTTTTCCATGACAACTGTTGCTATGGGAACAAAGAAAAAACTGTTTTTCATATTTACGGGACCAAGGAGTCGACAAATTCTAAAATGCTTCGTTCAAATAAATATATTTAACCCTTAAAATAATCTGAAAAAATTTCAACATGTTCTGATGAGAATAAATCAAGACATCATTTCTTAAAGGTGAAAGTCAAAAACAGAGAAATTTAAATATTAATTTTTCACTTCAAAAAAAGGTTTTATCAGATTGTATGCAAGTTACACAATAAAATGTACAAACCATTTATATCAAATTTAAATAGTGATAATCATTTGATAATCCAACAAGTCAGTTTTTGAAAATTTTAATTACAACAACTTTGATTCAGACTGGAATCATCTACAAATATAATTGAAATTCCTGTATTTCCAACATTTATTTTTTTAAAATGATACTCTCTGACTCTAGATGAATGCTAAATCCACCTGAGGAATTTGAAGGCTTTGTATCAAATTTTCTTTTTCGATTTTGTCGTAACTGCTGGCGATGATTAAGTGAACTATTTCTGGATTTTAAAACAGATATTTTCAAGCGAAATTGGTTTTTTTTTCTAAAACCTGCATTTGTTTTAGCTCCAACTTGATTAACCCCCATTGATGTAAGAATACTAATCAATCTTGCTGCTCCAGAATTCTATTGAATAATAGCTAACGTAACGCCAACAGTCAACTTTTATTTGGGACCTTAATCCTAATTTACAATATTGACATTACGGTTGCTAAGGGCGTTGTTAAGATGAATAAATTGCTAAATTAATGGGAAAAATGCATAAAAGTATAAATGCATAAAATTAAGAATAGTTATCATAATACAATTGTTGGCAATTTAAAATGTTGGCAAAAAGTTGACAAAAGTATATATTTTTAGAAAATACAGAACATTCTCTTTAAAATATATATTAAAAAATAAATACAAATTTTTCAAAAATTTTGGTTAACTACCACCTTAAAATCCTTAAACTATTCCATTTAACCCCATTTTACTCTTTAGTTAGAAACAACTTTTTTCTTTTTCCGCAAATTTTTATTTAATAAAAAAGCACATTTTCAAAAATATTAATACTCACTGTGTAGCCAGCATAAAGTGATAAAAACGAGGACTGCAATAAATGTAGCACATGCAAATAATTTTTACTTGTGAAAACATACCTTGGAGGAAAATCATCAAACAACAGTTTGCTGAAATTAAAAGTAACCATTTTAAAGCATTAAACCACGATTTACTTAAAAATTATAACTTAAATAACTCCGGATTTAATGTTGTTTTTTATACTTATTAACTAATCAGTTTTTAATAAAACCCACTACATTGAATTGATATTATACCATGTTACTGCAGAGGTAGCCAGAATATTAACTCACTTCTAAAAAGTAGCAACATGGTCTAATCAATCGAACTTTACGGCAACACAAAAAAATAATCTAATGATTTTTTTTTATCTTGGTTTTTAATTTTCAATATGTATCATTTATTTGATAATATGCAAAAAAAAAAATAATTGGAGCAATTTGAAAATTATTGTATGTAATATAAAGATTTAGTGAAAACCTGGTTTATTTTACCCCTGAAAATCCGGCACTTAAAATGGCAAATTAAAAAAAATTTTGAAATAAACATTTTTTTATAAACTAAAGCTAACTTGTTCCGCTTCGCGACGCATAGTGCAGCGTTGCAGAAATTTTTTCGTGCCATTCGAAATTGAGTAAAAGTAAAAAAAAAAAAAAAAAAACCTTTTTCGTTATTTTTATTCTACTATATAATTAAATCATCTACGCCATTTTTTCAAAAATTGTTTTAAAAAATCATAACGTATGCATTAGGCGCCGTATTTATATCATCCTTAAAATTGCCAACAATTGTATTATGATAACTATTCTTAATCGTTCATGCTACTATTGAAGTTAATTGTTATTATAGACATTAACATTTAAAAACTAAACGCTGGTTTTTCGAGGTTATAAAAATTACTACATTTTCATTTTCTAATAATAATAATAGTATCATTCGTATATAAAATATTATTGTAGATTTTACAAATTGAAGTGTTTTTTTTTAAATTTGTTTACTTTGATTTAAAAGTGGGATTCATAACTTGCAATTAAAAATGAATTAAGTCATGTTCACTTTAAAAAAATGTATTTACTTTCACTTTATTTTGCATGAGATCAGCAAAACATTCTAAAATTACTATTTTTAAAATCTAATTCCTAATATAGAACTAGAATGAAACACTTTTTTTGCTTCCTTCATGCACAAATATATATACAGACAGACAGATATATATATATATATATATATATATATATATATATATATATATATATATATATATATATATATATATATAAACACGCACACACTTACATATATATATACACACAAATATATATATATAAAACACATAATTGAAAATATGGAATATTACCTCTATTGCAAATTTAATATATAAAAATAATTACAACGCTATTAATATCGTGTTCTGTTAATAACATAATATAAAAAATTTGGCCAAAATTAAAATTAATAAAAAAATGAAGATGACTTGTATTTGAGAATAAATAACGTGAAACTAGGTAATAAAACTAAAAAACAACTAACGATGATAACAACAAATTTAGAAAAAACAGGACTAACAAAATATTAATTTTAAACATCAGGTAGAACACACAGTCAAATTCATTGAAAACTATTCATCAAAAACATTGAATAGAACGCACAGACGAATATCGATAAGAAATTCTTTAACACTAACAAAGAAGCTGATTAGTTGAAAATATTGATATAAGCATCAATTTTAGACTTGTTTCGTTGGGATATACATTCTGCAATCCAAACAATATTGCGACATTCTTGTTCCTTTAGTTTTACGTAGGCATAAAAAATTCCAAATTGAAATTGTCTCATGAAAGCAAGCACATTTAGTTTTACCTAAATACAAGAAAAATAGTTTATACTACTTCTCAACCTTGGGTAAACAAAGTTTGACGAATCAAAAATATAATGAATACAATAAAATTTTTGCGTAATAAATTTTTACCTCGTATTCAAAAAACTTGTCTTCCAGAGTTTTGTCTCCAGGGTTTGTACCAGTGCCATCAAACAATGATTGATATTCCTAAACACAAAAGATTATGAAACATATTACACAATATTTACAAAAGATTATGAAACATATTACACAATACTCACAAAAGATTATGAAACATATTACATATATCTTTATACATTTTTAGGTTAATTTAAGTGTTAATCTAAGCTACTCTTCATTTTATGGTGTTTTTTATAATTTGGAGTTTGTGTCATGTGAAATCATAAAAAACCATACGTTAAAAAAATAGGAAGGCATACTGTTCCTAAAAACAAAATCCAGGATCTACGCAAAAAAAATTTTGTACTGAATACTACTCCTAAACTGAATTTTTTTTGTCATAACTTAATGATCGTTTTGTTTAAAATATGAATTAAACACAATGCAAGCTTGTAAGACTATCCAAGGCGGAGTTATCATAAATAGAAACACAATTTTTTAAAGTTTAGAAGTTTTTTTAAAAAGTTATCTTAAACTTTGTTATGTTATTACTCACAACAAACTCAGGTTTAATGCTTATAACGATTCCCAAGAAAAATTATTAGAGGTTTGAATATCTACATATGGTAGATTAACTCAAGATTACCAAAAAGAGAGTAGTATTAGAATAGCTTTAACAAAACAGCACTCATATAGTTGTTGCTTAGGAACAATACTTATGCAATTTATTTTGTTAAAAATAGGGAGTAATAAAATAAATTTTTGAAAAGTATAGTTAAAAAATGAAAAAAAAAAATTTTTTTAGGAAACACTAAAAAAGTAATTTATAATAACATTAGTCAAAAATTAGTCTTGCAACTTGAAACTATGCTTTACTTAATAAGCATTTTGAATGTTAACAATTTAAAATACCTAACAAAAGAAAAAACCACAAGGGCTACTACAAAACTGTGTGCTTTATATGTCAACAAAAATGTTAAAGATGCAAAAGACAAAAATATAAAACATTTATTATTGAAAGAATACACAAAATTGTTAAAAATGGATTTTTAAAATGAAAAAGAACAATTAAATGAAAAAATAAATTTAAATAAAAGTTTATAAAGAAAAAGTTTGCGACAACTTTAAAAAGAGCTCAATAAAAACATAAAATAAAATGAGAAATAAACATGCTCATCATCAAACTCAATTGAAAAAAGATGCACAGATTTTGGGATAAATCATAATTCTATTTGGATAATCATTATAACTAAAAATTTTTGTAAAAATTCAGTTTGTAAAAATTGATTCTTTGGTTTGTTAGGACAGTCAAAAGCACTGATTTCTTTTGTTAACACTCATTAAACCCAAGCAATTTTGAATGTTTAGCTAAATTTTTTTTGGCCTTGTTAATACATTAAAGGAAACTGATGAAACATCTTTAACAGCAAAATCTAAAATCACTCAAAAATTTAATAGCACAAGACACTGGAGTCAAGTGCCAGTTAATTATTGCAGAAGAAGTTCCAGAATCCAACATTAACATTAAGGTATTAAAACATTAAGGTATTGATGGATTCAATTAACACAAACAATGTTAGAACCAAAATTTCATGTGATCTCTGAACTGCCACCTGTTTTAGAATTTAATTATATTCAAGAAATTATCCCACTGTTTGTGTGACATTGACAAGGCAATCTTCCTAAACAATAAGTTTAAAAAACATTTGGAATCCTGAAGATGAATCACAGTAAGTTTGTTGCTGCTGAACCCAATAAAAGCTAATCTAAGGCATTTAACAACACTTGATCCTACCAATGGAGCTTTTAAAAGTACTTGGCAGACTAAAAAAAAATAATTTAGCACTAGAGGGATAGTGTTATAGAGGGTACTCAACACAGCATACATGAGACCTCGTCTTGATTATGCCATCCAAACCTGATCTCTTCACTTAAAAAGTGACATAAAAACACTTAAATGCATTTAACAGTGAGCAACAAAAACAATAAGCAAAATAAAGCACAAAAAATATTAGGTTAGACTGGCAATACTCAATTTTTACACTCTAAAAGAACAACAAAGGGGCGATCTGATTCAGCAGTATAAAATTGAAAACGGAATTAAAAAAGTCGACAAGTATATGTGGAATCACTATCAGAGTATAATCTGCGTGGTCATGGCTAACACTGTAAAATGTGAAAACCTGCTAAGAACGAGACAATTTTATTACTAATCAAGCTGGTAATAACTGGAATGGGCTACCAGTGAATGTAGACATTTTAAAAAGTAGATTTGACACTCTTTTAAAGCTAACTTTGATACACTGTGATGCTGCACCACTTCATTATAGTTTGCAACTAAAATTTTACTTTTATATGATGGTTCTGCTTGTTAAATTTTAATTTATGAATAAACAAATTCAAATACATCATCTTTAAAAAAAATGATAACCATCTTTTCAAGTGTTGGTAAGTAGCAGGAGACTAGCCTGCAAACCTAAACATTCAGATGGAGCTATTTTATGGTGGTCAATTTATAGGAAATGAGTGCAGTCATCTACCTTTTGTATATAAACCTTTAAAGAATATTCTTGGAAATAACCAAAAGCATTAAATCTGATTTTTACAGACCTTGTACTGTCTACTAGTCAAAACTTTGCAGAGCAATCAAATAAACTTAAATGTTACCTCTAATACTAAATATTACACACCACAAGGTTTCTAAAAAATGTTTACATAATAATCTGAATAATCAAAACTTATCCTAAAATTGTTTAGAACTGCTTTAATCATTTGGTTTATGTGAAAGTTTTGAGTAAGAAAGTCATACTAACTTATTCAAGTTTTAGTTCTACAGACCTTAATTAGAGTGCTTTTTGATGCAAGATAATGAAACCAAGTTAAATTTGAGCTCATTGTAAACATATTAAACATCAAAAATTATTCAATATTTAAATACGTAAATTTAAATTTTAACTTGAAACACTTTCAAATATTTTAAGCTAAAAATAAATATATTTAAAACATATTTAAAAAACTTAATTAACTTGAAAAAAAATACTCTCAAAACACCTTGAGTAACTTGTGTGTCAAGAAATAGCTTGGCCTACCTCTAAATCAACCCTAGACTTACCTGGTATAATCTTATTTTAAATAATTTCAATTATTTAAAAAAAGATTTGAATCAACAAACAATATCAAAAAAATTTTTAACACTTACACCATAACAATCAGCAACTTGTCGAACTTGATCGTAGTCTTCAGCTCGTGCAAGTTTAGCTAATCCATCAGGAGCTAGTCTACCACAAGTGGGGTATAATTTAGCACGATCATCTTTATTAAGTTCAGTACCAAATGAATTGATGGTAATCATCATAGCTCTGCGATCCGCTTCAAACTAAGAATTAATACAGAAATTTATGCATAATTAAATTACAATATTTTAATAAAACAGGGTAAGAAGAAGCATTTATAATTTTGTCTTGTTATATATTTATTTCATATTTTTTAAACTATTTTCATATAATATCAGTCAATAATTTACAATCATTAAAATCTCAGATATAAAAATACTTGATAATTGCTCAAAAGGGCATCATATATCTGGTGGTGGTATGGTAAAGTCTTTAATAATATTATTTTAATTAGAATGTTAATTTATTCACTATATATGAAAAAATGTTGTTATTATTAAAAAACATTGATACATTTAGACATTTGGAATAAAACTTTAATCCAAATTTGTTTTTTTTCCCTTTTATTTTTAGAAAATCAAAATACCAGGAGGTTTAAATTATTAAACATTTTTTAACAATAATTTGTGGTAAAACACAAGGTTTTTTTATCCATATTAAAATATGACCAAAATGGCAAATTTGAGCCTAATTTTATATAGACCACCAAACAGATTTGCTGCAGTGTCTCAAATGAATCATATTTGGATTAGATAATTAAAAACTTTTCCATAAAATGCTAATTTATCTATGAAAGAATGTTGAAAGTTAGAGAGTTAAATTATTTCTGAAGAAAATATGAAGCCATACTCTTGTTTTATTAGGAAACAAATATATATTTTTAATCTTAAAATAAACTTTACTTGTAATATTGAGCTCATAACTTCTTCATTTGCTCCGCCAAGACTTTTACAAAAATTGTAAAATGCTCCCAAATATGACTAAAATAACAATATAAATCTAATCATAGCAAAAACAACAACAACAACAACAAAAAACTGCTTATCTCATAAAATTCATACATAACAACCTTATATATACCTTATATAAAGAATTTCGTATGATTTCAATATTCATTTCATCCAGGTCTTGTTCAGAAATACAGTCAACAAAAAAAGGAGCTAAAAAAGAAAAAACTCACATGAATGAAAACAATTTTACTTCTCATCATCTATATATCTTTATATATGTTATCAACATTATTTAAGGTTCAATTTAATTTTAATTAAATTTGAATAATACAAAACAATTAGTGTATTTAGAAAAAAGTTTGACTGTTTTCCAGCAATTATACTAATAATTATTGAGAAAATTTATTGTAGGAAAATTTGCAATAGTAGGAAATAGAACTTGAATATTCATTGGAACAAATGATTTCAACCTCTCAGAATGTTAAAAGTGCATGACACAATGCCAGCAGCTAATGGCATTGAATTATTGAAAAACTAAATTTGGCAAGGGTATTAATGACTTAAGTTGTTACTGAAGGAGCCAGCTCAATAAAGAAAACTGGTACTGAACCTAAAGAAAACTGGTACTGAATCTAAAGAAAACTGGTACTGAACCTAAGGATTAAATCTTCAATTATGCTATCTATAAATGTGCTTTTTTTAAAAAAGAATTTTAATAAATAACATGTAACATTACCATGACTACCATTACCATCGGCAGCAAAGTGAACCAAAATTAGTTAGAAAATTAGTGAACCAAAATTAGTTAGAAAACTAGTAAAAATGTTTCATGAATAACCTTGAAGCAATATTTTTGATTGAAAACTTTGAATTCAAATTTAAAAGCTTTTTTTTTTTACAATTATGCTTTTTCTTATTCTCTTCTTTTCTTATTTAAACATCAATAATGGAAAACTAAATGTATCTCCCTATAAAACTTTGAGGTAAGTATTCAATTACACATCAGTGCATCAGTGAATGGAATCGAAGTCTTGTGTTCATTGTGAATAAGTTTGAAAAGTTAAAGCTTCAAAATAATTTATCTTTATTTCTTTATTTAAAACAAAATAAATTTAAACAAATTCTAAAAAAAATTTTATTTTAATTTTTTATCATTATTAACTTCCTTTAGTATTCTACTTCCTTTTTTTTATTTACTATTTCTATAGAAACTTTATTGTTTTTATCATTAATATTTATTACTTTCATTACTGTTGTTTTTATTATTACTATTATTAATACAATTGTTATAAATACTATTATTTTTTGCTGTTACTTTTGCTCTATTAATGAATAAAGTTGTTATTGTTATTATTATTTTTTAAATTAATATTAATATAACTATTTGGTGTCACTCCTTTGATCAGGAATCTGTATGAGTCACTGCTTCCTTGATCAAATATTTATATTTATTCTTAATAATTATATTTTTATTTTACTATTTATAATATTCTTCTTCTTATTATTATTTATAGATATTCTTATTCTTATTATTATTGTTATTGTCATTTTATTGTCATTATATGGTTGTAAATTTTGAGGAAAATAAATATCTTGTTGTTGTTGTTGTTGTTGCTGTTGTTTATTTTCGACTTTTTATCACTTTCGACCTCATTAAAAGTAATTTAAATAAGATATTAAACTTATAAGAAAAATGTTTATGCAAACAAATGTTACACCAAACAAATGTTACACTAAACAAATGTACACCAAACAAATGTCACACCAAACTGATAAATATGGTCTGACTAAATAAGGATAGTTTAACTCGAAATAAGCGCCGGACATCGGATATTGTCTGGCACTTGTCCGGTAAAAAAAGATATCTACCGGTCATTTAGTCCGACATATTTTATGTGAATTTAATTTCTAATCATAGTTGTTCTAAAATTACTAATAAATTCAGTATTGTATATAAACTTTATTTTTTAAACTTTTATTTTATTATACGAAACAAAATTGAAGTTGAACTCAAGGCTACGTTAAAAAAATACGTCATTTTATTGAGTTAACTCATTTTTTAAAAGACGCCAAAACATTACATTTTTTCGAATCAGTAGCCCGGTTTTTATCATTCATACTAAAACGTTGCAATTAGAATTTAAATTTACAGTTAAGTATTTTTATTTTTTTTCTGTCCGTCGGTTATTATAAATTTCCAACAAATAATTTAGCTTTCAAAATCCTTTTTAAGTTTCTCGTATAAAATTTTAACGTCATAGTTATTTTAATGCTTATAGAAACCAGTACTTTTAATTACACTATTTAAGTTGAGTAGTTAGTTTTCGCGTAAAATTAATCCTAAAAGATTTATAAAAAAAAACAAAAACATTAATATAAATGAAAATTAATAAATGTAATATACTTTGATAGTTTAAACAAAATGTGATTATTGTAAATATTATAATTAATTTGTAACTTTACTTAATAAAGTAATAAGTAATATAAAAAGTAATAAACTAATAATTAATATATATTTACATAGTAATTGAATTAAATAATGTATTTAATAATTTTGTTTTATTATACATTTTTATTACATACTTAATTATGTATTTAATATATATTAACGTAATAACTTATGTATTTAGTAATTAACAAAGTACTTTTGCATAATATAGTAATTTTTAAAAAACGTAATATAAATATATTTTCCTTTTTAAATTTTAGTTTTTTGAGCTTAGATTTTTTTATACCTTAAAGATTTTCTTTTTGATAGATAATTCATCTTACAAAATTTTTTTTTATTTTCAGCGCATTTTGAAACGCCTAGAGTTGTCAATACAAATAGCGTATTAAGTTGTAAAAACAAACCATTTTAAGGTCGTCGTCCACAAGACGAAAAAATCGCGCGAAGCAAATTTTTTCGTTGATAAGCATGCGCAGATTAAACATTTTTTGATATTTTTTTCGCTACAGCGAAAAAAAAAGTCGACTTTTTGGGAATCCGCCATAAGCGAAAACCAATCAAGTTTTGAATATTATACCACGTGATGTCAACAGTAAAAAAAAAAAAAAAAAGCGAAAACATGTTTTTAAGGTAACAAAAAACAAAATTCTCAACCTGGCGTTCTTATTAATTTTATATGAATATACTCTGAAAATTGGCAAGCATGAGTAAATTCATCAAACAAGGAGCGAGACTTATATAAAAAAATGACCAGACTTATATATAAAACTAAATCGAGAATTTTCAAATATAAATTTTCACACTGTCAATTACAAAAGTTACAATTCATAAGAATGTTTATGTTCAAGTAGCCACACAAAGATAAACCTTTTTGTGAAAAACCCTACATAGAGTTAAACCTGTTGTTAGTTTTTGCAGTAACAGTTTTTTAATAGAAATGTTCATATCAGAGTTTAGCATTTAGTTTCTTATACTTTCTTGTAAAAAAAACCTTATATTAAATGATAATATTACAAAATGATATTACATCTTACATATAAAGATAGAAATGTTGACATTAATGCAAGGAAAGAAATTTTCACATGCTTCAAAGTAGAAAGTATGCTAAAAAAGTAATAACTGCTTTTAGTTAAACATACAGTGTAAAGTTATTGCTGCCATTTTTATTGCTGACAAGTAGCGCGAAAGAAATCAAAACAGCGTTTCGTCATTGCGAAAAAATATTTTCTACCAGACATTTTGTCCGGTAGTTATTTCGAGCCCTGGTTTAACAGTTACAAACTTCTGCAAATAAACAAATTATGCTCGCAATTATTTCTGAAACAACTTGGCTTTCAAAGCAACAACTTGGATATTTTCCTAATTAGATATAATTCTATCATTTTTTTCTCAAAAAAATTGTATAGGATTTTGATTTGTGAGTTTTTAAGCACTTGCAATAATAAATTGCACCAACTGTTGCAAACTTTTACAGGGTGGCCACAGTTTTTTTTTTTTTTACAAAATTAAAAGAATTTAGAAGATTTTAGGAGATTTTACCAGTAAACTTGGAAACCAAATAAAAAAATTAGGATTATTTCGAAGTATTAAAATTTTTTTTTTAAATATTATTCAAAACTTTTAATAAAAAATTTGAAAGTTTGAGTTGAATGTTTGAAAGAAAACTTAAAGTTCAAAAAACAAATTTAAATTAGGAGATTTTAGAAGGTATTTTTGAAATTCAAGTATATTTTAAAAGAATTTAGATCTCTTTAGGAGGTTTTTTAAATATTAGAATATTTTAGAATATATTAGGTGTGGCCACCCTGTCTTATCATAAACCAAAATGTCAAAGGCATAGTAAATATTGATCAGCACTATTACTTATTTTCATTTAAAAAAATATATAAAAAAAGTTAAAAATTTAAAATAATTATTTGCTGATTATTTAAAATTCAAAATAAAATACCTAATGGTGTATCAACAAGTACAGCATTGTATAGTTCAGCAGGTGTTGAAGCAATATTGATTGAGGTCATTTCTGGAAACTTTCCTAATGGATGACATTTCGGTAAAAGTTCATTAATGGATCGCTGATGTAAAGTTCCCGTGATTAAAAGAATGATATTGTCAATCATGTAGCTGTAACTAAAATTAGAAAAAAAATAATAACAAGAAAAAATTAACAAACTGCTAAATATGTTAGTGCACAACTATTTGGATTTAGATCAACACTATCCTCATATAATTTTATATCCTCATACGATTTGCATTTATGGAATTAAAATGTTAATTTAAATCCATAAAATTTTCATACAAAAAGAAAAAAAATTATTAAAAAAACAAAAACAACTTATTTTGCCGTAAATGATGTCCTTTATACATGTATTGTACTAATAAAAATCTAAACCCTCATTTAAATTATGTAACTTAAGCCCTGTAGATAAATCTTTTAGTAGGATATCATCAGTGAGATTTTAGGCACAACTAAATCTTTAAGGATATTTGTGTGTGTGTGTATATATATACATATTTGAGTAAATTGTCCTGCATAAAACATGTCATGCTAAAATAATTATTTGTGAAGGCTAAAGCACATTCATCTGACTGAGGTTTTTGGATTGGGCAGGTACTATTTAGTTAAGAAAGACTTTTAAAGAGGCCGAAAATTTGTTATTCTTCTTTTTTTTGTTTGTACTTTAAAACCTAAAATGTGCAAAATATAAGCGGACAGTGCCAACCTAAATCAGTAAAGTGTGTATCCATTACACACATACACATCTGTATATACATATATACATACATACATACATACATACATACATACATACATACATACATACATACATACATACATACATACATACATACATACACACATACATACATACATACATATATACATACACATACATAAATATATTTTTATTAATTATCTTTGTTGTTAGAGTAAAGTCTCTTACATCATAAATTTTTGTAAAACTGTCCACAGTAAAAACTTTACAAAATAATACAAAGGTGAAAACTTTGTTTTATGTAAAACTGATTTTTAAAAAATTTTCACTTTTGTGTAATTAATTTATTGTATATTCTAAAAATTCATAACAATCAAAAAGCAAAAACCTAATAAGTATTTGCGTATATACAATATTTAACTATCATTTTGTTACAACATAGACAAATAATATGAAGAAAAAAATCCAGAAATTATATAGCATACGTTATAAAATCTAAAAATTTTGCTAACGGCTCTACAGCTTGATTTCGAACATGCTCAAACTCTATTACTAACTTTTCCCTAAGTTTTTCATCTATAACAGGAACAGTTAATGGGCCTGCTTCATTTGCCAAAAAGTTGCCATAGTCCGTTCCCTGTAAGTGCAACTTCAAATCTGAATATAAAAAAAAAATTCAACAGTTATTGTTATAATTATAAGCTAAAATGTAATATAATGTTAACAAATCTCACACTTGATTATTTACAACTACAGTGGATGACCAAATTAAAGTGTAACTAACAGTTTACTTTTTTACTAAACTACAATTAAATAATGTATATATATATATATAAAACATGGAAAATATTGGCTGATCAACAGTCAATTTTGCTACTTTCACTTCCCAAAATAAATTAAACGACAGATCAACAGTCAAAATTGCTATTTTGACCTCCCAAAATAAGTTCTTGCCGGTCATGCTTGACCGGTTGAAAAAAAAAATCTTTTGAAGTTCCGATTTTATTATTGTCTTAAAAAAAATATTTAACTTATTATTTTTATCATAATATAAAAATATATAACAATTGCTGCACTTAACTGAGAACTTTTTTTTAATGTACTTAATCACTAATACAATATATAAAAATTTTTTTCTTTTAATCTTTTTATTTATTTTCTTGCAAGCTTTTACTGCAAATGTAATAAATGGACATTTTCTTTAGAACTGTACTTGTTTTTTTCTCTTTTTTTTTAGATCTTTTTATTTTTTTCGTAGCTTATTCCTGCTGATGAAAAGTATTACAATAAATGAATTATTTTTAAATAAATTTTAATTTACCAATTAGGCATTTACTAATTTTTTTTCCTTTCTAATATTGAATTGCATTAGAAATGTCGAAAATCAACCCTTTTTAATAAAGGCAAATAAAAAGAAACAAACAATGGTTTCAATAGTATTCATAAAATGATTTCTTTTAGTATTAATATTTTTTAATATTGTATAAAATTTGTCTTGATATTAAAAAAAAAAAAAAAAATTCAACATTAGATTAATTGGATATTATAAAACTTTAGTTTTATAATATCCAATTAATCTAATTTAGTTATGTTAGTTATTTGCAAGTTTAAACTTAAAAAATACATTGGCTTTATTTAAAACTATTATTTTAAAAAGAATAAGAGTTTATTAAATTTTAAGCTTTAAAAAATAACAAACTTGAGCATTTCCAAAAAATCACGCCTGGAAACTCATATATGTTTTTACTTTTATTTTCATAAAAATAAAATTAGCGATCTCTAATTTACTGTCATTAAATTCAAACCTATATAAATATTTTGTAAACAAAAACTAGTAAGCATTAGTAATGTTAACAAAGAATAAATAAAGTTTGAAATGGAATCACGCACGGAACAGAAAAACTTCTATTTTAGTTACTAGATAAATAAACTTTAATTCCTTGGAAAATAAAAGTTTCACCTGTATACTTTTTTTTAAAATAATATTTTAAACATTAGTAAAGATTTCCAGAAAGTTTCAGGATTGCACTATGAATCATAGAGTCACAGCAATCGTTTAAATGCAGTTTATGAATGATCACGCACGAAAGTCACGCACGGATGTTGCAAATTTGTTAATTTCATGTAGTTATTTTTAGGAAAATAAATTGCTTGTGAGTATTTCAAATGAAATATTACACTTCTATGACTCATATTTAATATATTTTCGATGAGAAATAGCAGTCATTAATTATTTCTAGCTAGAATATGGCGTTTTGAAAATTATTGTGTATTTTTCAAAATGTAGCGATACTTTTACTCAAAAAAATAAAATTGTAAAAATGTGTATATTTAATTTATTAAGATAGCCTAAAATATGATAAAACTATTTTCGTTTTAATTGTTCTTTAAGAAAATTAAAATAGAATGCATATTTCATTAATTCCTAGCTTTTATTTGCTAAAACAATGAAAAATAAAAAATCAGGCACAGAAATGGAAATGCCCGCTTTTATTAAAAAATAACAAACTTGTATATATATTATACAGTCATGAACAGGAAAAGCGTGCATTTAATTTGTTTTTACGACAACTTGACCACAACTTTTTAGATTTTTGAAAGTATTTTAAAAAGGCGCTGAAATAAAGTAATAAAGTGAGATATTGCTTTCGATGATTGTGTAATATAAAAAAATTTTCTTAATATTATCAAAAGATATTATAACTTTTGTAACTTTTACAACAAATGTTAATATTTTATAAAACAATTTGTACAATTAATTTTACAATAAACTTTCAGTTAAATACATAAATTTAATAGTTAAAAACTTAACAAAATTATTTTTTATAATTCTTTGTAAACAGTGTTATAAAATGTTTTTACACTATGCTAAACACTTTTACATAAAGTTTTATTATGTTATTAATTAGATTTCTTTCCTTTTTTTTATTGTTTAAGCATGTTTTTAATTTTCATTCTTTTGCTGGGTTTTTTCAAGGCGTTTTTGAAGCTTTAAAGAGCCACAATCAAGCTTTCAAAAAAAAAATTATACGCATTATCAGGTATCGAGTGCAATCACAATTTATATATATATAAATTTATAAATCTATGAATATATATTTATAAATTTATATATATAAATATATATATATATATATATATATATATATATATATATATATATATATATATATATATATATATATATATATATATATATATATATATATATAATTATTTTCAGCCTGAGCCCTGGTCACTTCCTATGGCCCCAGCTATGGTTTAACAAACCCAGCCCCGGTCAAATATCAGCCGGTGTAGCTTTTTATCTGGCATAATAATCAGGAATTAAAACAAAAAGTTACATCCAAAATATGCCAAGAAGGAAACAAGATGTAATTGCACAAAAGGCAGTCCAAAAAATTACTAAAAAAATTTTTATATTGTCAATTTTCTTAAATAAATGAGTTTTTATGATTTTTTAAATAAATGAGTATTTATGCATTCCATTAGATTCCCTGTCCTTTATTTAATATATTTATAATAAGTTTCATACGAATTAGATGTGTTTTGGTGCTTAAGAAATTTTACCTTCAAAAACTTCTATTGAAAAAACATGTCCAGCAACAATTATTTTTTTTATCAATAGTTGTCTTAAGACAAAAATAATATATAAAAGAACCTTTACTGAACATAGTACTTTCTATATATGGTTGGAAAGAAGTGGAGTCAAATTAATTGATGCAAAAAACCTCAAGTTTCTAGCTTTATTATAAAAAAAGATATAAGAGAACAAAGTTCATGAAAATGTTTTTCATTGCGTTCTTGAATTGCTATTTATAAAACTATGATAACCATATATAAATGTCAACAAAAAAAAAACTTGTGGAATGGCTATTAAAGAACAATAAAAAGTTTCTTGATTCTGATGATCTAATGATGTTTTTTACTGAAGGAGAAACAGCTCAATTTAGATAAGTTTATTTTAAATAATAATAATAACAATAACAATAATAATAATAATAATAATAATAATAATAATAATAATAATAATAATAATAATAATAATAATAATAATAATAATAATAATAATAATAATAATAATAATAATAATAATAATAATATACATAAAAATTTAATATTAAAACTTCTTTATTTTACATGTTAATCCGTAGTACAATGTTACTATTTAAACTGGATTATTTTTCATTAGTACCTTCTAAGGTTTCACATTGAACAAGATTTAAATAATCTGCTCTCGCAAGAATCCCAGAACGAAAGCCTCTTACTAAACCTTCCAAATAACCATTATCAATATTAAACATCATATCCCCATAAATAGCAGCCATGATTGGTAACAAGAATAAGTTCAGTCAAGTGTTTTTATTTTACATAGAAATGTGCCGATCATGTTTTTAAAATTTTTCTTTCTTAAAAACCGTGCGTTTTTTAGAACTCAGTCTCTTTACTAAGCATATCTTAACACAAATAAAATAATTTAATAATTAACCTTATGGGTTATTATTAAAGAAAGTCGATCGTGTTTCTGTTAAGTAATGCTTTTAAAAAAATTCTGCTTTTTAAAATGCTTGTTTTTATATAATGCAAACAACAATAAGAGATAATTTTGTTTTTGAAATAGTATAAATTGTTTTGTTTACTTGTCTAGCTAAGTATATTATAGTTCACATATGGCAGCAATAAAAAAATTTTTCGAAAAGAAAAAAATTAATGCAAAGTTTAAAGTAGCTGGAGTAGGACATTCACTTTCAGAAAATAAACCACCTGTTGTGATTCCAGCTACAAAGCCATCAACTGTGAGACAGCAACCAACTGAAAATAAAGCTGGAGAGGCTGCACTTTTAAGGTAGATTTAGTTGTCGCTATTATTTTTTTACTTAACCCAATATAAATGTATAAAAACTTATAAGTATTTGTGTTTTCTAGACTCCAAAGCCAGCAAGCAAAACCTAAAATTCCAAAGTCAGTAAATGCTTCATGGAAACATCCCACAAATCCTAGTGGGTCAACAGCAATTGACATGGAACAATTAAAAAATGAGATGTATACTTCTGTTGTAAAACCTAAATCTAATTTTAAACCTGATGGTACAAAATCAGAATTAGCTGTTGACTCTTTAACCTTTATTTGCCCTTTGTGTCCAACAACATTAACCAAACCTGAAATTTATTATCATTTAAGAAAATGTCTTGAAAATGATTTTGAGGCTGAGCCCTTGATGATTTCAATTACAATGATATATTCTTTAAATCAAAATCGTTCAGAAATTCAAAATTGTGTAGACATTCTTGCAAAATATCTACAGAATATTATTGACAACAAAGGGGAAGAAAAATATCTTAAGATCAAGAGATCTAATAAAATATTCTCCCAGAAAGTTGAAAGTATGCAAGGTACAAGAGAGTTTTTAATAAATGGTTGTGGATTTGAACTTAAAATGTTACCAACTGAAGTTGAAAATGCTATTGTAGAGCAAGAGTTTTATGTGTTGCCTAAATCCATTGCTGATGATATTGAACATTTGAGCATGATTAAGCAAATGCTTTTAGAAGCCGAACCTTTGGAAGTATCTTTGGATAGAAATGTTCGTGTTTTTTGTGCATCATCTTCTTCAAATTTTTTAGAAGTTCCTGATTCATTTTTTACTGTGTCTGCATCAGAAGTTAAGAAAGAGCATGAATTTCTTCAGCAAGAGATAGAGAGTATGCAGGTTTTAAAAACTAAAGCAATGCGTGACAATCTTACATCAAAGCGTAGCTATCAGTATATGGTTTTAAGAATTAGATTTCCTGATGGTATTTTATTGCAAGGTACATTCTCTTGTGATGAAACTCTGAAAGATCTTTATACCTTTGTTGTAGATAACTTGAATATGAATTGGTTACCTTTCATGCTTGTTGATTCTACTGGCAAAAGTTTTCAGAATAATTCTTCAAAATTGTCTGAATTTAAGTTAGCACCTGCTTCTTTGCTAAACTTTAAAGTTGAAACTAATATTATTGAAGAAATGAGTTTTAATTCTGCGGATAAAAAGCTCCAATATTTAAAAGATGAAACTTTGGCTTTAATAAGTGAAGAAATATAAATATTAATTAAATTTTGGAATTACAGCTATGTTTAATTTTATCATTCCAAACAATTTATTGTTTTCTATATATACTGTAAATATTGTATGCAATGAATTTATGTTTTGTTAAACAAAGTTTCTTGTTCTCCATATTTTTTTCTATAAAGTTTTAACCTAAAATTTTATATTTCTATAAAGTTTTAGGTTAAACATTACCATTATTTAACTATTTTTAAAGCTATATTTTACTCACTTAGCTCAACTTTGTTAAGTTAATAGTATTTACAAAATCATAATATTACGTAATTATCTTAATTATGTTTTAACACTTTTTTAAAAAAATTAGGAGTGTAAATATTTCTAAAAATAAGTTTAAAAGGAGTGTCAATAATTTAAGCACGTTACTTAAAAAGTAAAGTGCTTAAAATATTTACACTACTTTTATTAGAAAACTTTAACTTTTTAATAGAATAAAACTTACAAAAGTTTTCAATTTAAGGAGAAAACAAAAACTATAAGATTTTTAAAGAATTTTAATGAATGTTAAGAATTTTACGAAGTTCTATCTAAGAAAGCTCAATCGTATCCATACCATGGATACGATTGAGCTTATTAATAAGAGCATAGATCTAATAAGATCTTATTAATGGGACTATCCCCATACTTGTCATGTATATCTAAGATTTTTTTTAGTTTTGAGCGTGTTTGTAAGCAGACCAGATAGTTCATTTTCAGTTACATAAATAATTAAAAACGATTTAGCATTTGGAATGTTAAGAAAGTCACTAAACACGTGTTTAGAGTGTATGGCTTTGCTAAGTAGTTTGTTATGTATAGTGCTTAAAAAACTGTTAAATATATTAGATAAAGCAGTGTGATCAGTGATAAGATTTTCGTTCAGTTTAAAATTTAAGTTAAGTATTAAGTTAAGTAAAATGTATTGTGTGTAGAAGGTCTAATATTAATGAGTTCTTTTATTTCCTACCGGGTGTTTTTAATATTGTTTAGATTGTTATTATAATATATAATTATGTTTTTTTGCTAAATTTTTTGCTAAATTGTTATTATAATATATAATTATGTTTTTTTGCTAAATTTTGATTAATTGGAAATTTTGTTTATATAAAATTTAAATTTTGCAAATAATTCATTTTTCTTATAAATATTCTTTTATTTTATAACCTTTTTATAAAGTTTGCTTTTAACTGAAATAGATTTAATACGTAATCCAAGGTTTTGATTTAAGTTTAATTTTTTAGTTGGTTAGTATTTTGTAAGGAGCATGTCGGTCTACGATTTCATCAAATGTTTTCAAAATGAAATTCATGAGTTTATTAACATCATCATTTTTTTTAATGGAGAGTTTCCAGCTGATATTAGAGATTTTGTCAATAAATGTTTTTTCTCATTGAAAGTTGTAATTGAAAAAATAATTCCCCACAAGTAGCAAAAATTGGAAATCAACCAAAAAAAGATCATAGCTCATACAAACTTGTAACGTAGCAAGTTATATAAACAACCAAGGTTTAAGCTTGTTACACTATTAGAATTAATTTTCATTACGTTTATTCAACGTAAATAATTTACATTCACTTTTAAGCGAATGTTACATTCACTTTTCAGTGGATGTAAATTATTTACATTCACAGAAAAGGTTTTTGATCTGATTGGTAATAGTGGCTATGCTTTGTTGATCAAAGTATGTAGTATATAATATTAATGATTAAATCAAAGTATGTAGTGTATAATAATATTCGTGAAACAAAAGTATTATATTCTACTTTATATTTTTCTATAATAATATTCGTGAAACAAAAGTATTGCATTTTACAACAAAACACTATATACGTATTAAACAAATGTATATGCGGTAGTGGTGTAGTGGTAAGAGCGCTCGCTTTGTAAGCGAGAGGTTCGGAGTTCGACTCGGAACTTCCACGTCCCTGGAAGTACCGCGCTCAACTTAATTTCTCCGCGCAGCGGTCTTGCTTGTCAAGGTTCGGAGTTAAAGAGTTGAGAGGGTTGTACCACGATTTACAACAAAAAATAAAATAATAAAAAAAAATAAAAAAAAAAATTAGTAGCCTTCTCAACTGTAGTGGCCCCCCTCGGGCCTTGGGAAGGTAAATAAATAAAAAAATGTATATATTAGGGGTGCACCGATGCATCGGCATCGGCCGGCCGATGCATCGACCATTTAGCCGATGGATCGGCATCGGCATCGGCCTTGATAACCATCGGCCGATGCCGATTTTTTTGAAATTTTATTTTTGATTCTGTGTTTCTTTATTATATCCAAACATAGAATTACGCCATAAACATAATTACAATGTATAAGTCTAACTTATTAATAATAAGTTATTATATAGGTATATATGCAACCACTAAACAAAAAATTTTTGAGTGCTTTTAACAGAGCTCTCTACTTTTTTAGAGTTTCCTTATAATTTAGTACATTAATTATATAACTTATGGATCCAAAACTCTACAAAGAAGTTTAAAATCAAGAAATGAACATTTAAAAAATATAAACATAAAGTATAAAATATTTAAAACATAATAGACCGATTTGCGTCATGTTAAAAATAAATATAAATTTTTATTATGTTATGAAAAGTAATAAATATGTTATATAAAACTGTGAATCTATTTTTTTGTTTCCGTTTCTCCAAAAAATTTTTAATTCGCATGCACAAAAGCTAGATTTTCTCCATGTTCTGCAGTTAGTCGGGACCGTGTCATTCATAAATATTTCCCACAGTACTAAACAATCTTTCACTAAACACAGAAGAAGGCGGAGCTCCTAAATATTTTTTGGCAAGGTATGAGAGGTCTAAAATATTATTGCTACTAGAGTGTTTCTTTATACATGTATTTTGTAATTTCCCCACCATTTGTATGGACATTCTTTTTGATACAGATTAGGAAGTGATAAGTAAAAGTTTATTTCATCAGTTCTAAAAGAAAAGTAAGTAAACAAAAAATATAAAAACTAAACTAAAATGTAAAGTACGAATTTTTATTATTAAAAGTTGTTGAATATTAATGAATATTAGTAATATTATTTTATTTCATTTTATTTTTCAACTTTTATTTGTTTATGATAATTTAGAATTTAGTTTTATCTATAATAATTTATTATAAATTAGAAAAGAACAAAAAAATTATCAGAGTTCTTATTTAAAAAAATCATTTTAATTTACATTTTTTCCTTTTTCCCTAAATAAATTTGTGCCTCTGTTGAAAGTTTTTTACAGTTCTTTACTTTTGTTGATTTTGTTAATTCAGTGTCAAGCGGTGCTTTTGAAACTTGATAAAAATTGTATATGTTTTCTGCCATTTTTAATTTTTTGATTGGTTCTTGGGTTAATTCAGATGAAGTGTTTGTTTCATTATTTGATTGAGTTAAGTTGTCGGTAGTTAAAAGGCAATCTGTAATATCAGTTTTATTTAGGTTCATGTATTTCTCTTGAATATTTGATTTTATTGTGTCTTTCTCCTCATCTGATATGGCATAACTAAGTTTGAATCTTGGATCTAAAACTGTAGACATGTTCAAGTTTTTGTTATATTTATAGCTGGAAAACCTTGACATAAAATCTTTTTTCAACTCTTCTATTATAGTTTTTATTTCACCTGCATTTTTTGAAGCATAGGCTAGGTACGATTCCATTGAAACTATAAATGGAATAATTTGAGACACTGATGCCCTATTTTCACTCATCTCTAGTGTAGGCACCTCAAAATGCTTTAAAACTAAGATAAGCGTCTCAGCTAATAACCATTGGTCTTCATTAAGATTAGAGGCATTACACTTTTGATTTCTAATAAAAAATAATGTTAGTGAAGTTTTTTGTTCAACTAGTCTTTCTAGCATGTAAAATGTCGAGTTCCATCTTGTTACTACATCTTGTATAAGTGAATGTTGGGGTAACTTTAGCTGTTGTTGAATTTCATGTTGCATATCCATGAAAGACGAAGAATGATGAAAGTGTGTGACAATTTTTCTAGACTTAGCTATAAGATCATTTACAATTGTTTGCTGTTTGAAAAGCTTATCGGTTATACAAAGCTGAAGAGTGTGGATTACACAACTTAGAGAATTTTTTTCTAAACCAGCTTCTTTTATGGCTAATTTCATATTAGCAGCATTGTCAGAGAGGACAAAGTACACTTTGTTAGTTGGTATTTTCCATTCATTTAAAGAGTCTTTTAGAAATTTTGATATCTTTACACCTTTATGAGAGCCTGTTATTTTTTTAAGTTGTAGCACAGCTGTCATAGAAATTTTTATCCAGCTTTACTCCTAAAAAGTTTACAATGTTTCCTTTTTATTATAGCTATTATTAATTTAAGAGAAAATTTTTCTGTTTTATTTATAAAAAAATATATATATTTGGTTTTATCTGTATTCAGTGAGAATTTTTGTATTACAAACCACTCGTTAACTTTACATAACTGTATGCTAACTGTTTTAAAAAATGTTTCAATATTTCTGTGAGAACAAAAAGATTGGAATCATCAGCAAAAAAAAAGTATATATATAGGTTTAATAGATTAGTAACTAAATATAATTTTTTTAAAATCGGTCCTAAATAGAGTCCTGAGGATTTGTTTAGGACCGCCAGGAACGCTAAATAAAGTCCTGAGGAACTTATTTTTTGAATACTCTTTGAATAAAGTGTTTTTTTATTAGTATATTATGATTTATATTCAATGAAAATTCCTAATGTAAAAAAGTCTTAACCGAAAACGTCAGATGGAAATGGCTTAGTATTTTTAACTTTTTTTTTGCTTTTTGGAAACGTAATTTAATACTACTTGCAAAGTCGATTTTGAAACAAGTCAGTGCATTGTTCGCCTCATTTGATGAAACCACTTCGAAAGAGTACTGAATACTCCAAAAATAACACATCGTAATGAAAATTGGAGAATTCCCTCATGTACAAAATATGATGATGTTACAATAGCTGAAAATATAATTAGGGCTATTTCAAACCTAAAATTAAAAAAATCTCCTGCCTCTTTCAGCAGAACATTTGAAATACACAAAATTCCCCTGAGTACCTTTGCTCTTTAGATGCAGGAAAAAGCTTTAACTAGGATATCTTATTTGATAAACTAATTTCGATAAAAAATTACCATTAATTTACTACTATTGTTATCTTACGTTATATAACAATAGTTGTGCAACAGCCTCATATCAAGGTTGTAAATTAAACTCTTTTCTTCTAAAGCAAGGAGTAAGACAAAGATCAACCTCATTACCTCACCTTTAAAATATTTACACTGAAAGTCTTCTTGAAACTATTAAAAACCAAGGTATTGTCGGCACATCTATATACGGTAACTTTACTGGTGTGGTAGCATATGCGGATGATACACTTTTAAGCTCTACCCTCTTTTGGTCTCAAAAAGCTGATAAAAACATGCGATATTTACAGTAATCTAAATTTTATTAATCTAAATACCAAAAAAAAAGTTTGAAAAAAAATGTCAGATAAAGCGCAAATACAAACCAATACGATAACGATTTCTGGTACCGTAAGATTGGGTGGCTTTGGCCCATTTTGCATCTTAATGTCTATTGCAAGAAAGCCACAAAAGTTATTTCTCAAACACTAAGTACTTTTAGAAGCGCATAGAAAAAACAGTTAGAACTATCTGTCTCCCATTTGAAAATTATTTACCTGAAGTATCTTTTGGGTGGTTTAAATGGTGGGCCAAAGTCGCCCTATGTGTAGGGTGACTTTGGCCCAACCCTGTAAAAAGGAACTAAAGGAAGCAAAACTACAATAAAAGCAGCAATATTTAGGCAAAGAAAATAAATTTACAAAAATAAAGTGACAAAATGAGATTTAGTAACAAAGTTCTTGTGTACAGTAAATAAAATATAGGTACAAACTAAACAAGTATAGATACCAAGTAAACAAAATAGTTTAGGTATAAAAAAAAACAAAAATGAAAAAAATGTTTTAAAAAATTTAGTAAAAAAGTTCTGGAACTGAATAAATTCCTCTTTTTGAAATTTTCTTTGGTTCCTCAATAAAATCGACTGGCGGAAAAAAAGTTGCTCTGCTGGTAGTGACCATTTCCAGTTAAGTCCATTTTTTTTCATAATAGTAATTTCTGCTCCATTTTTTCTTATTTTTTTCAACTGCAGAAAAAAAAATTTAGAAAGTTTTTTTAAAATTTTTCAGTAGTTTCATTAAATAATATTAGTTATTAAATCAATTAGTTATAAAGTTTACTAATTGATTAGCTAAATATAAATAAATCAAAATAAATAAACAAACCTGTCCAGGATTTAACTCTCCATTGCATTTAACAATTACATAACAATTCTCTACAAGATTTAATAATTTCTTCTTTTTACAAACATTTTTTATTTTACCAATATTTTGAAAGTTCTTTTTGCCTAATGCTGAATGATCTAAAGATTTTGTATGACTTTCTACAACTAAACTTACATCTGCAAAAATTAGATTAGAAGTCTCAGTAGTTCCAGTATTTGTACTTGGGCCAGAAAAATCAATGTTGTTGGTCTCAATTGTATTTATAATACTGATAGGTGTATCTACATTATTTGAATTTAATTTATTATTTTCATTTATAACACACAATGATATATCTGTTGAACATAAGCTTTTACCTAGGACAGCACATACTTTACGTCGCTTTGGTTTTTTAGAACCATCTGAGGGATCATCTAGTGACTTACATAAATGATCTAAAAATGATTGGCTTACTAAATCAGTAGTTGAGTCTATACCTACATTACAACATAGTAGTCGTGAAAGCACTTGAGACTTTTCTAATGGAAAAATTCCAGTTTTGCGAAAACCAGCTCTAAGGTTATCATTCCCATGTTCATTTAAGTTGGTAATTAAACGGTCTAAAAGTCTAGGAAATTCATCTTTAGGAAGAGAAGCAACTCTCCTTCCTTTTCCTTTCTCCTTCCATTCACATAATATTTTATAATATAATGCGCCAGTTAATCTTCATAGGTCTAAAGTAGGCAACATCTAATGGCTGCGTGAGATGTGTAGAGTTTGCTGGTAATGCCACAAATCCTATGTTATTGCTTTGACATGCATACAGTACTGCAATGCTCAAATGTGAAGATACGTTATCACCTATAATGAGACTTCTTCCTTGAGCCTTCTTAAGTCTTGGAAGAAGTAAAGAAAAAAACCAGTCCTCAAAACATGTTGAGTCAAACCAACCACTTTTTGATCTGTTATAACGTGCTTTTGGTGGCCCATGTTCCATCCATGTATTCCATAACGACTCAGCTTTGTAAACAACATAAGGTGGTAGCAATTCACCATTAGCATTACCGCAAAACATTACAGAGAATGAGGTCTTTGTAGAATTAATGATGCGTTCAGGATACTTACATCCACGTTATTTGTTAATATTTTTTTTTTACCTGGATCATCACTTAGATTGGTTTCATCATAGTTCCATATATTATCAGGTGATATATTACTTATTTCATTTGATAGATTTATAATGTAGTTATCAATTACAGTCGTTCCTATTTCTGCTCTCTTTCGCTTTATGTTGCTTGCAAATCTTACCGTGAGTTCTGGATTTCTTTTTAAAAAAGATCGAATCCAATCACCACCTGGAAAATTATTTTTGAACTGAGGTATAATGACGCCTTTTTTTTCTAAATACCCTTTTACTATGCATCTTAAATCATATTTATCAACAGGAAACTCAGATGATTTTATTGCATATGCCTTAAACATGTCTTCTTCTTTTGATGTAAATATTTGCATATCAGACATATCCTAAAAAGTATGGTGGTCACCATACTTTTTAGGATATGTCTGATTTATTTTATTTTTTAATGTTGATCTTGGTATATCGTATTTCAAAGCTGCTTGTCTTTGAGTAATTAAACCATTCTTTAAATCTTTTAATGCATTGTCTAACTGTTTTAAAGTATAACTAACATATTTTCTTCTTCCACGATTTGGCTTGTAATTTTATGGCATATTTAAACTAAGAACTAAACAAATTTCACTATAATTTTATACTGATTTACTAATACAAACTGTTATACTGATTTTCTACTGCATTACTACTACAAAATTTTTCATTCCAACATAGTAACTACCATAACATCTATAAATGATCACTAAAAAATGTTTACTCTAATACATGGTGTGACTTTAGCCCGGGCCAATGTCACCCTATGTAGTGGGCCAAAGACAACCTATTTTTTTTAAACCTCAATTACAAAAAAGTAATAAACTGTTAAGCTTTCAAAACAAGATAGAATCAAACACTAATGGTTTAAAATTAATTTAGTGTATATTCCAATAAAAAATCTTCATCAGGTACTGCTATCGATGTAAAAGTTTACACACCTGAAAAAATTCGGATTTTAGGTGCTTCTTTTAAAGTGCAATTTACAATAATATCACAAAGACTCGAGTTAAGTAAACTAAGTTAAACTAAAAAAATAATAAATTTCCCACAATTTGCTACTGAACATCAACCGACATACCTTAAGGTATCAATTTTAAACCATTTTTAAAATAAAATTTCTGTTGGGCTAAAGTCATCCCGTAGGGCCAAAGCCACCCAATTTTAGGGTAATAGTAATAAACTTTAGAATAAACTGACATTTGGGATTCACATGGGATACTAAACATACAGTTTTTGATTCACTCAGTTATACAAATGTAAATGAAAAGTTCTCAAACTTTAGAACTGTTTTTCAAAGTCTTATTCAATCTGGAATCCGGTTTGCCCACCCAAGTTCTGTTTCATATATACATAAATCATTGGCAGCCTCTACCTTAACCTGTGGTATGGAGCTATGTGAAAATAATTCTGCTTTGATAAAAAAGCTGCATATATAATTGGAAAGAATGCACTTTCAAAAATGCTTCAAAACACAGTAAGAACAAAACGAATTCGCTATTTAAAATGCTGGAAATTTCAAAAAGTAATTAACAAAATAAGTTAAACTTGTTCCTTTGTCTTCATAGTAATAAATCAACTGCAGACATTATCTTTTTACAACTGAAACACCCTTTATTTCAACATTCGTTTGTTGGTGATATCCAGGACCTATGCCATTTTCAAAAAGGTTAAAATTTCAAAAATGTCGAATTTTCAAAATTTAATTCAAAATAAAAAGAAGGTAAAAGTAGCACTTTCTAAAAGTGAAATTCTTTCCGAAGTTAAACAAACTTTGAAGTATGCGATAGAGTGCTGGAATGCAAAAGAGTAAAGAGGAATTTTTAAACAAATTCTGGAAGAAAAAATTCTTAAGTGACAATCACCAGAAATAACTTTCTTATTTTTATTTTTACCTTATTTTACATGTACATGTTCATGTACATAATTAATGTTTGGTAGTAATGTTTTAACATTGGATGTTAAATAAATGAAATAATAATAATAGTTTATTTGTTGTGAATTTTTATTTGGAATTTTTAAATTTCTTTTAGGAGATATTTAAAATTTTACAAAAAATAATAAAAAATATTTTTAAAAAATTTTATTTTTGTCTTTAAGTAAAGATGAATAATAAAAATTTTTTTTAACCCAACGATGCGTAACGATTCACAATCTGTTTCATTAACAAATCGATCGTTAAGTAAAATTATTTAAATGAATTAAATAAAAAATTTAACGCCCCCACCTGCGTTAAATTCGAATTGTTGGTGAATTGTCTAGTGATTAATTAGTTGATATTCACAAGTTGTTTCACCGCATTTGCAATATTATTCGGTCTGACAGATAATTTTAAAGTAATGTTAAAGTTCATAAAATTTTAATATAAATAACATAATTTTAAATATTTATTAAATATTATTAATAAACATAATTTTAAATATTTATTAATAAACATTATTTTAAATACTTATTAAATATTGTTAAGAAACATTTTAAATATTTAAATTTTTCATTTAAACTTTGAATATTATTGTTTATAGTTGAAAATATGTTTTATTTTGTCTAAGGGGTCATCCAAAAATTATGTCACGCAATTTTTGACCGTTATTTAATAATACTATCAAGAATCGGAATATAAATAAAAAATTTGTCTTTATTTGTCAAAATAAGTAATGTTGTTTTTTCCTAAAAGGTTTTAAACAAGTGGTATTTCTTCGTAGTCATAGTTTTTTTACCCAGTCTGCAATTTATTAATTTTAAAAATTAAAGCATTTGCTAACCCCGTAATGTTTAAAAAGTAAAACTGCTCTGTGTGTCAATGATGTTGTCATACATAGCAATACAGCATTTTTCTTAACATTAAAAATAAAGGAACAACTTAATAACCTAAGAACTTCACGCTCAGAATAATTTTGTGGATTAGCATACTTTGGAATAACATTGACTTTATTTTTCGTATACCACTCAACTATGTTTTTGGAATAGTGAATTTTTTTTTTTTTTTTTTTTTTTTTTTTTTTTTTTTTTTTTTGTTCTTTTCTTGAATATTTAATATAGTTATACAATAAGATAGTTGAGATAAAAATCGTTATACAATAAAAGAAAATATATACAAAAAAGAAAGAACGCGGAGACTCGCAGAAGACCTTCAGGTCTTATCGTCGAGAACCGCTCGTGAATATTAAGTACATTAAATTAACATGAAGTATAAAATCAAAACAATGTCGTATTAAAAATTAGCGAGAACGTAAATTTCGTTATAATATATAAATAAAATTGGAATAAAGAAATTGTTGATACTCTTATATATAAATACAAAAATATTTTAAAAAGTACTGTTTTCACAAACACATAAGTTATGGATCAGATATAATATTTATATATTACCTTATGTAATAAACTTCATATTCATTTTTAAAAGAATTTAAAAATATAAAAAAATGTCTTCAAAAGACAAAACAATTTCTTTTAGTTTTTTCTTGAATGAAAGATAGTTCCATTCATGGGAAAAATCAAAATTTTTTAAAACTATTTTGTTCCATAGAAAAGCTCCTCGATATGAAATACATGACTTTTCAAAATTAGTTAAAGATAAAGGTTGCTGAATTTGATTATCATTTCTTAAGTTATATTTATTTTTATCTTTTAAGGTATATAGATTATGAAAAGAAACTGGAGATTCGTTGGTTTTACACTTGAACATAAAACAAAGTATATTAAAAATATTTAGCTGATAAATATTAAGAATTTTCATGTGAAATAATAATGGTTTGGCATGAGCAAATCGATCTTTATAATTGATAAGCCGAGCAACATGCTTCTGCTGACGATAAAGAGGTAGCAGTTTAGATTTATTGGTATTACCCCAAGCAATATTTGCATAATTTATATGGCAATGGATTAAAGAGAAATATAATTGTGTTAAACTGTGTTTATTTAAAGCATTTCTAGCCTTGTACATTACTCCTATATTTCGAGCAACTTTGTTGCACAATAAATCAATGTGATACTTCCAACTAAGGTTTTCATCAATATTTATTCCTAAAAAGTAAGTAGTTTGTTCTCTTTTTATTTTTTTTTAATATTAATATCAGATCTGGTCGAAATAAACTTGTTTGTTTTAATAAGTAGAAAAAGTTATAATTCATAGCACCCATTTAAGTATAAATCAAAGTTTGATTTGTTATAAAAAAAAAATTTTTGCTGCCAAATAAGGATCTTGGCTCTTAAATATCCTATGTCAGTCAAAGCCTGCTTAATATTTGCCTTAGAGTCACAAAGTATCTACTAACGAAAAACTTAGTTGCAGAAACCACTTAGCGTTGCGCCGTTGTATATGTCTATTAATTTTCAAGCTGTTTCACAAACTCACTGTAAATTTAGACGCTTGCGTAACTGTTGCTGCTGTCAAAACTCCGCGTTTGGCCCCCACAGTCGTCTTTGTGAGCCAATGTTTTTTTAATATTCCCGCAAAAGAAATAGGGCTACCAATATATCTTGTCTATTAGTTTAGAAAACGTCACCAAGTCATGCATTTCCTTTTCGCAATTAATTTGAACACACATGCTCTTTGATTTCTTACGCCAACGAAAAAAGTTTCACACAAGCTCTTGCGCCACCGAAACGTTTTAGATAAATATAATTTAAAGGGAAATAAGTACCTAAGCTAAATAAATCTAGTTTTTCTAATTTCAGTTTCTGCTGATTTTGCACAATTAAATCACTCAAATAAGTTATTTGCCAAACAATGGGATTGTCAAAAAAAAAGCGTACGTACTTTATGGACGGTTGTACGTCTTTAACAAGACGTAGAAAAAACATCTTTTATATCGATGACCTTTAAAAAAAAGAAATGAGAAAATTTTTAAGTTAAACAACACCCAGTATAATTTTTTTTTCTTTAGGGAGGGGGAGGGGAAAATTCACTAACGTTTCCCACTGAGAAACAACTTAAGTTGTTAATAAGTAAATCACGATACTGTGGGTTAAAAGGTTTTAACCCACAGTATCGTAATTAATTACGATATTTTTGTTACGTTCCGATTGGCCCGTTTTTTGTTTACAAAATACTTTTATAAAACTTTTTTAAGGCGAAACGTTTTAAAATAAGAAATTTAATTAAAAATCAATTATTTTCGGTAAGCGGGTTCATTTTATAATTTATGTAATAAAGTAATATATTATGTAAAATATACATAATATATATGCTTATATATATTATGTATATTTTATATATATGTGCATATATATATATATATATATATATATATATATATATATATATATATATATATATATATATATATATATATATATATATATATATATATATATATATATATATCGATATGATCTAGTCTCTAGTCTCAACAGTGCTGGATTAAAGGGAGGGGGTTATAGCCCCGGGCCCCGCAAATTTAGGGGCCCCTAAAAAATTTTGAGGACCTTTATTTTTTTTTTTTTTAAGTCATTATTTAGACTCTGGCCCATAAAAAGGCTTCCAAAAACAAAAATAGCCCCGGGCCCCAATTAGGGGTGGTAAACGATTAACGATTAATTGATTAATCGATTAAAAATCATTAATCATTAATCGATTAATTAACAAACGATTAATCGATTAATTTTTTTTTTTAATATAACAACTTTGCGTTATTTTGTTCCAAAGATTTTTACGAACATTTACATGCGCTTTTTAACAAACAAGACTTGTGTTGACTTTTATCCGGGATCTGGTCAAATATAATTATAAATAAACAAAAACAATGCTTTTTTATAGTGCGGCAGCTTGACCACCATTTACAATGTCGTTTGGAAAAAAGCGCTCTGAAGTTTGGAAACATTTTTTATTGTAAAATAAAGACAAATCAACATACAAGTGCAAACATTGTTCAGTCGAACTTAATTTCCATTCATCAACTTCAAGTTTCTTGTATCATTTAGAGCACAAACATAAAATTTTTTTGACAAAAGTTCTTTCAGAAAAGTTTAAAAATATACAGCCAAGTATTGCTGCTTATTGCAATAATATAGGTAGCAAAGCTGAAGATGTATTAGCTCGTTTAACTGCTGTTGATTGTTTAACTGCTGTTGATCCCTTTTGCAACTTTGGCCAATAGCAAAGATATTAAAAATAGCTGGAAAGCTCAAGGACTTAAAATTCCTGATGATCGACATGCTATAAAGACAATTGTTATGAACTACGCAAACTGAATGAAGTTAAAAGTTGTTCAAGAACTTCAGCATTTATTTAATTAAAATTAAAAGGAAAAAGGTTTTTAATTTCTCTTGATGAGTGGACTACTGGTAAAACTATAAGGTATTTATATTTTAATGTACATTGTTCAGACAAATGTCACTATGGTCTTAAAATGATTAGAATAAAAGGTTCGTTGCTTTCAGAAAGAGCTGTTAATATTGTTATTGAAAAATTAAATGAATTTGGCTTGAATTTGATCAATGATATTTTTGGATGTGTTACTGACGGTGCATCAGTAATGAAAAAAATAGGACGAGAAATGAGAGTTACACACCAACTTTGCTACTACCATGGAATTCATCTTGCTGTATGTGATATTCTTTATAAGAAAAAATGCTTATAAATAGAAACAACTCAAGAAGAAATAATTAGTGATGAAAATGAAAATGAAACATCTGATTCCATCCCTGATGATGAAAACAACACTGAAGAATGCTGGAATGAGGAAAGTACTAGCTCTGTTTCACAGGAAATCCAATTTAATGAGGACTATGGCATTATCATATCGAAGGTTCGTAAAATAGTCAAAATGTTTAGAAAATCTCCACTTAAAAACGATTCCCTTCAAAATAATTGTAGAACAGATTTAGGAAAATAACTTAAGCCTATTTTGGATACTAAAAGGGGCTTGGCGATAAGACTGAATTTGTCTTCTTCTTGCCCCAGCCGTGTATATACAGTTTTTAAAGTCTAATTTTGTAAATATTTTCTTTATGGCGAAATATATATTATATTATATTATATTAAAACAAGATGGAATTCTCTAATAAGTATGTTAAAACGATTCTTAAAGTCAAAAAATGTTATTGCAAAAGCTCTTGTTGATATATCTAGAAATAAAAAGAAGAAGAAATAAAACACATTTCTGATATTGTTCAGGCTCTACATGTTGTAGAGTTAAGTGTTATGGAACTAGGGAAAAGAAACTGTGATCTGATAAAATCTAATAAAATTATTTTGTTTTTACTACAAAACCTTAAAGAACAAAATACTAACATTGGTCAAAATTAATCTTTTGAAATACCCATATAAAATTAAAATTTCTAAAACTGCTAGAGAAATATACCTACGTCTATTTCAACACGAGGAAGTAGAAGCAGCATATGAGTCTAAGTTAGAGTCTACTTGTAATACAAAACCATTAAGAAAAAAGCTAAAGCTGAAGAATTAGCAGAAATAATATCTAATACAACTTCAGCAGCAGGAAAAACTAAAGGGCTAACTTGTAAGTCTTCCCCTCAAGAAGTTTTGACTTGCATTAAACGTGAAATTGCAGTACTCGAAAGCACTGAAAACAGGCCAATTTCTTTAGAAAAGAATTATAATGCCATGCTAAGTCTTCCCCCGTCTTCTTTAGAAGCAGAAAGAAGTTTTAGTGCAGCTGGTTTATTTGTTACTAATTTAAGAACTAGCTTAAATGATGACACTGTTAATAATTTATGTTTTTTAAGATCATATCTGATGAAAAGAGAAATAAAATCATAAAAAATATAAATTACTTTTTATTAAGTTATAAACACATTTTTACTAAAATTAATCAAAAATTAATCGATTAATCGATTAATTTTTTGAAATTTAGTCGTTAATCGATTAATGTAAAATACCTATTAATCAACCACCCCTAGCCCCAATCCGCCACTTAATCTCAATTAAGTTAGTCGCAGGTAATTGTTTTAAAAAATTTTACCATTTACTTTTTGGACTAATTTTTTAATGTGTTGTGCTTGAAGAACGTCGTTTATTAGATATTAAATTAAAATATTTATTTTCAGACGAAAAATAAAACCTGTAAACAATTTCTGTCTCTATTTACTTGTGAAACGAATGATAGAAAAGAAAAAGCATTCAGTAAGCTTGTAATTTTTTTTTTATATATATTTTTGAATGATCTGAATAATTTTGCTGTTTTTATTTAGTTGAATGGTGAAATTGTTTATGCAAAAAACTAGCTCTTAAACTTTTATGTTTAAGTTGTTATTTCCTTGTTAACTGTTGTCTGTCGTTAACAAAGCAAGTAGAAAAATGCGCATAATGACAACAGATTTATCTTTAGAACTGTTTGCAAAACTTTTGCTTTGGATACAAAAGACAAAGCGAAAATGATACTGGAAAAGTACACTTTCTTATATCTAAACATCATTGCAGCTTTCTAGTCTTCATTTTTGTTTATGTGTATTTCATCTGTGTTGCTAATGATATCACCAGTTTTTATGATTTTATGTTGTTAAGTAAATCATCATTATGTTTCATGCTAAAATAGAACTATGATTAATACTTTTATCCAGTTTAAATGAATAACAATTCTTAAGGTGTATTAGCTGAATTATCTTTTTGATTTGATAGTCTTTAGTCAATAAAGGATTTTTAAATTGTTATGAGTCTACAACACTTAATTTCAGCGAAATTCAATTAAAAAGTCACGTCATAGAAGACAGAAAAATGTCAATATCAGTTTTCAATAACTTGGTTTTCATAGCAAATCTGAGAGATACAAATGTTTAGTTTGGTTTAAATACTACATAATAAAATATATCGTTGTACATTCATTTTGAAGGTCGTAAATTTCTTTAGCACACTCATTTTTATATATTTGTAGACTGTTTACCGTTTGACTCATGTTCCAATCTAACCTAGTGGGTTCAAAAAGAAAGGACCGCGCTGTAAACATAAAGGGGTTAAAAGGGTCAGCCCTTTTTGAATTAATTGTCGGTAAGTCTAATCTGTTTCACTCAGCTTATCAAGTATCATTTGCTTTTTTGTATTACATTCAAGGAATAGACCTTTATAAGAATTTTATGTTCACTCGTTTTTTAGAAGTCGTAACTAGCTCGTATGAAAGGATTTCTCGACATGAAATAGTTAATTTTATTCAACAACACCAAGAAACAGAGCTTGCTCAAGAAACAGAAAAGAAAGAAAAAGATGAAAAAATATTCTGTTAAACAATACAGTTGTTTTATTTATAAATTATTCTCCTATGTTTATGTATAAAAGATGTAGAAAATGCTTCCTCTTTTATATTGACATCTAAAAGAGGTTTCTTTCTCGGTATCGGAAAGAGCTTTGTATCATACTTGTATGAAGAGCTATTATCATTTTCATTTGATAAAAACAGCTTTTCATATTTGAAAAGTAGGAATACTATAGTGTATAGGATACTATAGTATACTAATAAGTATGAAAAAAAGTTGTTCCGACCCAGAGAAAAAAAACTTTTTTAGAAATGCATAACAAAGACGTTTTAAAGACGTATTTATTATGTCTTTTCACGACATGATAAAGACAAAAAAGACGCTTTTTCGATATCGAAAAAAGATGTCTTTTAGATTTGCATAATCGATTTAAAAAAAGACATCCTAAAGACATCGTAAATAAGACTTTTAAAGAAGTCTTTTCAACGTCTTTTTTCCCACTGGGACAGATTCATCAACAGTGTACTGATAATTCTAAAAAATGTTTAGTCATGAGGCTTATCATTTTTTTCGCATCAAAGATAACGACGCTACTTTGTTGATCGTCTGCCAATTTTCCACGTTTTGTAGCAACAAATACTTCACTTATCAATAATTTTTATCATTTTTTTCTATTTATAATTTGTCATCTTTGACCATCCACCCCGCCTTATTCTTCATAATCGCGCTGGCAGGCTGGCCACTCGGTATTCGGGAGCGCTAACGGCACCTCTCTAGATACTCATCTTTCATGTACCTTATACCTTTCTTTTTTATGTAGCCAGCTCTTAGACTATAAAAAGTATAAGCAAATGTAGACCACACGGGTAAAATCACAGATGTCACATTTTTCTCACTTTGAGCAAAATGAAATTTAGTGTTTTAGATATCTGTTTGTTAATATTGTATTAAATTAAAAGTTTATTTTTATGACATTTTAGTCCTAACACAATATATAAATGCAGTTTTTTTTAGCTAAATACAAGAATTATTTATTCACAGCGTTCTTTTGAAAACAAAACACTTATTTTGAACATCTGTGATTTTTCCGTTGTAAATTCATCAACTCATAAACCACGTTGACATATAACCTTTTAGAACACTTATTTTTTTAAAGGTAGACGGTAACACATTGAAATATACAACCACAACGTACTATGTGTGTGTTGGAATAATAAAATCGCCCCCCCTACCTCCTTCATTTCATAAAAAAAAATTCAAAAAAAAGTTATATGAAAGTTTTTTTTTTAACTTTATACAAAGTAGCATTGCAACCTTATTTCTCCCCCAAACTCATCTATTTATTATAAATGATTCCATGATGTCTGTGTTCATTTTATATTAAGTTTGTATAAACCATACAAAAACCAACTGTGAACAAGATGTTAACGAAAATGTGTTTTTTAATTGCAAAGAAAAATAAAATAAATTTTTCAAAAATTAAATAAAATAATATCAAATAATGCCACTTAGAAAATGTTTAGCTTCAACAAGTCTTTAAATTTTTAACAAAAAAGAGGCAACAGAGCTTTGTATGCTTGTTTCAGTTTATCAGGCACTTCAATTTTTGATCTAAACATATGTAACACACGTAAAATCAAATATTTCCAATTTTCCATATAAATAAATTTTAACTAGCCTTTAATATTTCAATTTCTCTGAGTGAACATGTCTTAAATGAATAAACAACTAAGAAGTTTGGCTTTGAAACTCTGCAAATTTCAGAAATTTTTCTTGTATCATGTTTGTATATAATTTCAATTGTTATGGTTTTTTGTGAGATCGTTTAGTGTTTCTGCCAGAAACCTTTGATTTACAATGGCCATGTTTTTGTCACATTTTATTGAGGTATCATGTTTATATAAAATGTGATATAGTTCTAATTGGTAATGAAATAGTAATGCTGTCAAGTTTTTCAGTTTTATGAACTAGATAATTAAATCAATTTAAAACTTTTTATTTTATATTTTGCCTAACATATAAGTTACAAATCATTTTAAAATCCTTTACATTTAAAATAATTGATAATTTAAAATCATGCAGCATAGAACATACTTCATTTTAAATTAAAATGGCTTAGTACTAAAATATCGTAAAAATATATAAAACTTAAAATTTTCAAAAAGTGGACATCTGTGGTTTTACCCGTGTGGCCTTCAAATGTTGTATCATCAAAATGGATAAAATACATATATATAAGTACATATATCATATATACTATCATATATATATATATATATATATATATATATATATATATATATATATATATATATATATATATATATATATATATATATATATATATATATATATATATATATATATATATATATATATATATATGATATATGTGTTCAAATGCATGATATTCTCTGTGTATATATATAACTAAAATAAAGAATAAATAAATTTAATTCCGATAAATATTCAATATAACGTTGTGCATACGTAAAGTATAACATTAAATCAACGTAAATTACAACATTGTGCCAACGTTAAATACAATGTTGAATCAACGTAAAATATTACGCAATAGCCCCTTAAAACACAACGTTGGGGCAACGTTGTTTTTTGATTGTTGGCGACGTCGCATTTGTAACCAAAATAATACAAAAACTACATTCGCGGTCGATGTTGGTCCAACGCAACACACAACATTGTTCTAACATTTTATCAACGTATGTGTGCTAGCTGGGTAGTATGAACGAAAAACTTGCAATTAGTTCTTACTTGAAACCGGAAAAATTACTTGATGAACAATTCATATCAAAATATCGTTACGAAAACTAGTATTTACGGAAAAATTACATAGCTTTTTTTTTTTTTAAATTTAATTAGGTGCACCAAAAAGTCCTTACGGTCTTATCACAGAACACCGCGGATGAGCATTTAATTGGAAGTTCACGCCTCCATCCTAACCTCACCCAGACCCTCAAACATGCTATCCGTTTAATCTGCTTTGCAAATCGCTTTTCTCACGCAAAACATTATTTTATTGAAATGAGAATTTTAAATATATACGAGCTAAATATATATAATGTTTTATGCTTTGTATACATGTGGAAAAATGACTTGTCTCAATCTGTCTTCAAAGATATTTTTACTCCGAAACCCATCAACAAATACAATTTGAGAAATACTGATTTTTTAAATGAACCTTTCTGTCAAACAAACTTTAATCAATTTTGTATTGTCTATCGGGCACCACACCTTTGGAATAAAATTGTTTTGCCCAAGTTTGATTTCGAACTACCCATTACTTTTCGTTTTTTTTTAAAGTAAATTAAAAACCCTAATTTTTTCATTAGAAGACGTATTATGTTATTATTAATAATGTAAATTAATAACTTTGCCTTTTCTTATTTATATTTGTAAAAAGTTTATTCTTACTTATTTTGTTGATTTTATTTTCTTTACTTCACGTATACGTTTATACAAAATATTGGTGAGTAGATCCGCGTGATCTCTCTTTGGATTATAAAATATATATTTGGATTATATATATATGAAATTTGTAAAAATTTGATACTGTTAATGCTTGTTTGAACTTATTTAAGGTTCTGACGACAAGATCCTTTGATCTTCTTTCAGATACCTTATTTTATATTTGTGAAAGTTTATTATTATTATCATTATTTTTATTTTATTTTTTTTGGCAATATATAGTTGTAATACGACCAACAAATGTAAAATAAAAAAAAAAAAAAAAAAGAGTTTGAACCACGAATACTTTGTTTCTGAGGCAAGTGTGCTACCACTGCGCCACGGCTGCTCAACTACAATAGTTAACAAAAATCTTTACTAGCTGCAACTTTTTGCATGTGTTTTCTCTTTAATTTGTTCACTTTTCACTTTAATTTCTTATTTTTTTCACTTTAGTTTGACAATTTTCACTTTATTTTGTCATTTTATTTACTTTAACTTGTGATTTTTTAATTTTAATTTGGTACTTTTCACGTTGATTTGGGATTTTTTCATTTTAATTTGTCAATTTTTATTCTAATTTTTTCCAATTTTAATTTTAATTTGACACGAATTAAATATAAAAAATGATAAAAATGTATTAAAAATTGACCAACTTAAACACAAAAAGGTGTACTAACAAATTTCCGTTCTAAACCTAAATTAAACTTGCAGCAAAATTAATATTTCTGCTACTTGCTTAATAATTGCAAAATAAATTTATAAGTTGCCATGGTTACCTTGCCTAATAAGTCATAATTTACTTTTTTTTTAAAAATTAAAATCCTAAGTTTGAAAAATTATAATATGATTAATTTTTAGAAAATTTTCCCACCCTCACCAGGTTTATGAAAACGAACTCACACCCCTCCCTTCAAAAACACCCCTTCCCTCCCCCGTTTATTGATTTTCAATTGTTGTCAGCATAAACCTTTTATCTCAAAACTAAAAAAAAATCAGTGAAAATCTGCCTCAAAAAATAGAAAATATTTCTTTCAATCATCGATAAAAACAAAAACTTTTAGTGTAAACCCTAAGTTTAGAAAATTATAATATGTCAAGAATTTGCTTTAAAATGGTTTTTGTGTTTTTATTAAATTGGAGAAAGTCGGGTAGTCCCGGACACTTGAGCAAAAAATAGATTATACACTTGTACTAACAGAAAACAAAAAGTTCAACGACTTTTTTAAAAGTATTAACATTTATCTATCAAATTAGAAAATTTATTTATCAAATTAGAAACAAAAAAATAATTAGTGTGTACCTTAATAATATACAAAAAGTAAAAGATAAAATGTTAGAAAAAAGGCATGTTTGAAAAATGGAGCCCCGGATACATAGTTTAACCATGATTTTACCTCTTTTTTACCTGTGCGACACAAGTGTAATATATAATTAAATAGCATTAGACTGTTCTCAACACAATTCTG